TAAAAGAACCCTAAAAAAGGCTAAAATGGACAAAAAATGGGAATTTCTCGAGGGAGATACCGTAAGAAAGGGGTGGTCGAGTTTCTGCTTGAAATATAATGCATAGGTTACTGCCCTTCTCCGCAATGAGGCGTTATTTGAAAATCGTGCACCTGGGTAATATACAGGGCTTGAGTAAGCTGGTACCAGCCCATTTCTCATAAATTTTAATGCCATTTGATGACCCGAACGGCATCTCCTACCCTGCTCGTCTTATGCAGGAGAAGAAGAAAGAGATAGTAAGTCCATTTATAGGCCAGTTACTGCAAAACGTCCTCATAGGACGGCTGTCAACAGTTTTTATCAGTCAGCCGTGCCGACTTCCGATGTTTTCAGTATCGTCGCGACCCTGATGAAGGCAAAGTATGTAAGCTAGAATAACCATATGGTTGCTATGGTTATATTTAAATAACTTTCTTGTTATTGAGGCTGAAATTGAATAAACTAAGCCAAAACAACAAATTATAATAAAGGCGCATGGACCATTAGAGAAGAGTTATCCTATATAAATAACGGACCATCAAGATGCAAGCATAGAAACCTATTCAATTTTGAGATCAAAGTGGGGAAGCTGTAAGGTTCAACATGCGGTGGGTTCAGTAGGACATCATTCTTCAGATGGAGACGAACAAAATAATTATTGCATGATTCACAAGACATAACAAAAAAAATGTAAAGAAATGAAAAATAATGTAAAATAATGTAATAATTAAGTAATAAATAGGATAATTTTTCATAAATAATAAGAATAAAAAATAATGGTAACCAAATAAGTATAAATAGAAAGGTAGTAACGGATAAAATAATCACAGTGATATTAAAATCAGAAAATACCGAAATTGAATTGGTAATTAAACATCAATTGAACGTATATAAATAAAAGTATGAGTAAATTAATGATAAACAAAAGGATTATTATGATAATAAATTGAAAGTAACGAGACGGATCAAATAAGTAAATAATAAATTATTAAGTATGAAATAGTAGGTAAGATATTTACAATAACTTTTAAATAAAAAGTAACAAAATTGAATAGACGAGCAAATAACGGATAAATTTGCCCTCATGCTATTCCGCCCTTTGATTAGTCACAAAAAAGCCAAGATAGAAGGGAACAGAGTCTTCTCAAACGAGCTGACAAAAAGTAGAGTGGGCCGAAGGCTAGACTAAAAGGAGAAGGAGTTAGTAAATGGTAAATGAGTAGATATACCATATAACTAAATGAGAAATAAAAAAGATAATCACAATAATAGTCCAATTAGAGTAGCAAATTAAATAAATAAGTAAGTTATAGATAAATTGCTCATAAACTTCTTCCGATTGACATGATAGTATTCCACAGACTTTCC